TATGCAAACGAGACCCGGCTCGGTTGCGAGGCAGCGGCACGCCCCTCCTCCTCGCCCCGCTGCCCTGATTGGGCAGTGTTATATTAATATTCATCAAAACCTTGTACCCTCCCCACGTGGGGGCGGAGCGCGGCCGGGAAGTACTGATTGGGCGGAGAGGGAGGAGGGCGGGGCGCCGTTGGCAGAGGGGAAGGGGGGAGAAGAGAGCGCTGAGCTCCGATTGGCTCCGGCCCGCGCCGCAGTCCCCCGAGGCGGGAAAGGGGGCGGGGCCGCGGTGGCCTAGTTTCGCGCCTACTCGGCAATGCGGCTCCCGCCACTGCTGCAGACAAAGGGGCGGGTGAGGGGGCGGGCGCCATCTTGGATCCAGGCAGTTTCTGCCCGAGGGCCGTTCCCCCCCCTCACAGTCCCACAGAACCCCCCTGGACGTGTCCCCAAGCACCGTTCCCACCTCGCTGCCGTGGCCCCTTGCGCGAATCACGTCATGCGCCTGCCACGCTTCTCCCCGTGCCGTCTCCTCACGGCGCCGCCACTCCCCTCAGTCTCCTCACAGCACCACGTCTCCCCTCCGTCTCCTCGGCTGCCCCATCCTCCCTCTGAAGAGACCCATCCTGTTCCCAGGTGTACTTCCCACATGACACAAGACGCACCTCAGGCCTCGCTGCCCGGAGTCTCCCCCAAAATGCAACCGTCCTCATGGGTCCGATCCCCCCCCCACGGCGCCCCTTCAGGTGGCCATCGGGGAAGACATCCCGGTTTCCTGCCGCTCCGTCCTCACTCGATACGGAAACGTCCTCTATTTTTTTAAATAAAGGCGTCCGGTTTCGTATCGATCGAGGACGGAAGACACCTGGGCTGTCCTCCACAATGGCCGCCCTATGGTTCGCCATGGCGGGGAAGAGGGTCGCCGAGGGGCGTCAGGGCCCGATTCGCTCTCCCGGCCTCCGCTCTCGGGCGCCCGTGAGCCTGGCCAAGATGGAGCCCGTCGACGGCAACGCTCGCGGCCTTCGAACCCGCGGCGAGGAGGGAGGCAGCGGGTCGGGAGAGGAACGGCCGCTCGGGATGCCTCTAAAGCAGGCCTGCCCCGCACGCGGGCCAGGCGGAAGGAGCTGATTTACAACGCGGAGCCGTGTCACGGCGGGCTTTGCCCC